GCAAATTAGGGGCTCCCAGCCTCCCTGCCATCGACCCTTTATCCACTTATCCATGGAAACGACAAAGGAAAAGTTCCACCATCTGCGTTAAAATAATTACTGACAAAGCCTTAAATATTAAATTACACACTTATTTATTTTGGCCAGCACCGGGAAGGGGCTTCGTTCGAAGGACATCGACGAACCATCGCCGTGTCCTGTTCGCACGTACAATGTCCTTGTCCGTGGCTGCAGGAGTGTGCGAGCACGCAATGTCTTCGCCAGCTATTCAAATACTCGTACCCCGTCGTCTCCGTCTGCGGACTCAGGAGCTCGGGACATCGGACTACGGACTACGGCCTGCGCCACTCCAGTGTTTACTTTGTGGTTATTTTGAGGCTACAAGTTGCAACTTTTACATTTACGAGAGTGAGAGCAAACAGCAACAGCAGCCACATCCAGGGGCTGTCTGGGAAGTCCCTATTCCTGTTTCTTTGGCACAAGGAGAAATATATTGGACACTAATTCGATTAGATTATAATATTAAAATATTTTAGATTCCCTTAAATGATCGAATTTCCTTTGCTAGAAAGTATTTCAGATTTAAACTTTATTTACTTTATTAAAATTAAAAGTAAGTTTTTGTTCCTGTGCATTAATCTTCCAAAGGACTCCCGCTCAACTGCTTACCTTAATCTAATGAAAATTAAATGGCTGACAGGGAGCATCGATCTGTCAGAGGCTGCCGCCTTAAAGTGTCCTTTCATTAGCCCAGTTCCGAGTGCTGCACCGCCCACTGCCACTCGAGAAGTGCAACTTAAATTTCAATAAAGCTCGAAGCAAGCTTCATACTCGAGAGTCAAAGCCCAGGACCCATCCGAGTCCCCATGTCCGAGTGAGCGAGCATGTCTGTGTTTCCGCTTCAGCACGCTCCGGCAGCGGGCTTCAAGCTGTCTGCCAGCGTTTAAATCAAAATTAAACCCCCGAAAATAAGCTGCAATGTGAAGTTAGTTGGGTGTGTGTGTGTGAAAATGGGGGTGTGTAAAGCAGCTGCCAGTGCAACGGCAACAGTCAAGGCTCTAAAGTCAACTGCCCTTGCCGTTGCCATCGCCACGCACTCTGCCACTCTGCCAGTATATTTCCAAGGGTTTTCGCCATATTCTCTGAAGTGGTTCTTAAAGATATTGCTGGAAATACCATCTTATGTTGTTATCAATACGATAAGTTCTTTCGCAAGGCTACACCTGTAACTGCCAGAGTTCGTGTTGAAAGCAACTTTTCTGATATTTGGTCAAAATAATAGCAGAACCTATGGTTGTGTAAGAAGATTATTTAGAAACACTTGAAAGGAGAAGCTACAATGTTTTGTATCAAATTTAAGAGCTAGATATGTTGTTTAGAGAGTAAGAATTAGAAGTTTTGTAAATAATTTATGGTAATATGATAGATAATAGGATGAAACCTTTAAGTTCCCTATAAAACTTCCCATCATATTTCCTTAATTTTAAGTTAAGGGCTTAGAAAATTTTACTGACTATAAATTACTCATAATTCTGCTGAATTTTTTGGCTTTTGATGATGTCTTATGACCCCCGTTGCTTACCCTTTTTGTGCTGGCCTGGCCCACGCTGCGTATACGTAATGCAATGCGATGCAGCAGACCTGGCAGAAGGGCGAGTATGTGTGTGCATCCAAAGCGATTTAATAAAAATAGATGAGTAAACTGGCATTAGACAGGACCTTCATCCCGTGTCCGCTCCCCGCCCCGCTGCGGCTGTCTCCCCCTCACACACTCCATTGGCTTTGTGCCGTCGCCTCACTTCAAGCGTTACAAATTCAACTTTAAGCGTTTTGACGCTAAGTAGTTGATGGCGCCACCCCACCCGAAGCACACCCACAGCCTTCACACCCACCCACAACCCCCAGATGACTGTTGATGGCGATGCCAGGGCAACCACGATTGAGTGCACTCCCACAATATTTCCTTAGCTTACATCAAAAGTTATAGTTAAAGAGTTGGCCGTTGTTTGCCGCCAGGATCCAGCACATGTCCCCTATATCGCCGCTGCATCCCATATATCCACTCTCTCTTCCCCCCGGGCACTTCCTTCCGGCACTTTGACTGGCTGCTCCGCTTCGGTCCGCTCTGGTCTGGTCTGCTCTGGTTGATTTTTGTCTGCCTTGTGTGGATCGGCTGGGGATCCTGGGTCCCGGCCATGTCCCGGCCGCTTCCACGCATCCTTGAAGCCAAATTGAAGTGTTTGTGCTGAGCACAAGTGCCCAAAATGTGCATGAAAACAGCTTACAGCAGCATGAAAATTTCTGACAAGATGTCAGCAGGAGCAGGGGCGGGAGCAGGACCTGCAGGACGCTGCGAAATTTTTGGTCGACAAAGCTAACATCGACCAAGACGATGACGAAGAAGATGATGATGACGACTACGAGGTTTTTGTTACGCACTTCGTTTTGACTTTAATATAGCATCTTTTTCGCTTCATATTCTAAATAGTGCAGTGTCAGTGAAGCTGATAAAAATAAACTGGCATTAGCTTGGAGGTTTTTGATTTATAATAAATCGGATCAAAGCCTCAATTTAAGGTTTAAAAAAACATAAATATGTACTTAAATCTTTTTATGATTTACAAAAAAAATGCATAAGCTGGTTCTTATAAATTGTTTTAATAAATTACTAACAATGCTTTATTTTAACCATTTTTACTAAATAACAGTTATTGTAAACGTTTACATTTGATGGATTTATTTCGTTATAAATAGGTTATAAAATAAATTAGACGTTGGTACCACTAATGGCAGTTTTACCATAATTAATTCCTTATTGCTTTATTTACATTGATATATGAATGTATTTATTTATCAATTATAAACGAACAACAATTACAATTCATATTGTATACAGTTTTTTATTGCTTTAATCATCCGCAGTTATTTATTATATTTATGGAAAATGACATCAATACATTAGCAGAATTTATCATATTTGGAATATAAATTTTATATTTAAAAATGTGCTTGCAATCTGCTTTAAATCTCGAGCTAATTAAGCTGCTAATACAACTTTGACTAATGCAGGCTTCAGTAAATGAGGGACACAACTCTGGGCAGCTATGTCTCCTGGAACTTTAAGCTCGAGTACGGAATCTCCAGTGAGCATTCCAGCCGGGGATATTCATAAACGAACTTTATTCATTAGCGAATGAGGCGGCGGCGGAGCCCCGGCTTCGCTTACTGCAAAAATATCCGCGCGCACAAGTTGGGCGCCTCGTAAACGAAATAAGTTTTCGTTTTCTGCGGGAGTTCTTCTTATGAAATTTAAGCAAGTTGTCATAAAAATGTCGCCCCCATCGACACGTCCTCCGATACGGATTGCGAGGGCGGTGGCCGTGGGGAGACAGGAGGTGTATGCCACGGGGCGGTGTCAATCCACAGTGCAAAGTTGCCTAAATCCGAGTCCAAATCCACACCGTGGTTGCAGGCAACTTTTGCTCTTTCCGGTTAGTGGCGAATGCCTGGCGGGGGCGTGGCAGCAACAGCACCAGCTGCTGCAGTATTGCGGCAAATTGTTGTCGTTGCTGCAACTAGTGTTGCTGGGAGTTGTTAGCCACAACTTTCCGGACCTGCACGATTGACACCTTTTGGGGCAAGGTGACAGTGACAGCTTTAACGGAGCCTGCAAGTCTTGCAGTTTAATTTGTTTGCTGTCCAGAATGGAAGCCTACCCAGGCGTTGCACCTGACCGTCTTGCAGCATCATCATCGAGTTGTCGCCGCGCTCAAGCAACTTTTGCCAGTAATTTAATGGATGGCTTTTGTCCAAACAACAATACGGAAAACTAAAGGTGAAGAAAATCACGAAGTACGGAAAACAGAAAACGTACTAAGGACCAAGGGATACGGGTAACGGAAAGCTAAACGTGCCCGATGCAAGATTCTGGAGAATTCGCATAAAAACTTTGCGCCCTCCTAACTGGCGCAAGTTCTTTTAATTTTAATTAAACGGATGAGCAGCAATTAGCGAAATAAATCTGACAATTTTGCAAATGAGCCGGCATGGCGGCGACCCTTTGGGGGCGGCAGCCACGCCCACTTGCCGAATTTTCCAGGACAGATTAAATTGAGTCTAGGCAAAAAAAAAAAAAAGAAAATATGTTTTTCCCCCAGAGAAAAAGAAGTGAAATTGGTGGGCCAAACAATTCGAATAACCATACAACAGGTCACATGGGTGTGGGGGAAATCCCTTTTGGGCAATAGTTGGTGGAAAACTCACTTAAATTCGGTTTAACAGCCCCCCGACAAGAGTTTTTCCAGCTCTCTGCCCTCGCTCCCAGCTGGCTTCTCCAGCGGCGCATAGTTTTGGCTTCGGTTTTTGGTTTCAGCTTCGGTTTTGGCCTGGCTTTTTGGCTGTTGCGGCTTGGCCTCGCCTCGCCTGGCCGGGCTTTTTTCCATGGCATTTTATGTTCATTTTGGGCTTTTAATTGAGGGCGCTTACTTGCATTTTCGTTGTCACTTTGCGATTTCCCTCCAAGCCGTCACTTCACTTCACTCTGCTCCCAGCTCCCTCATCAGTCCTTGGCGCGGTCGGGCATAATGGCCGCCTGCACTCTGCTTTGTTTTTTGCTATTTTTGCATTTAATTGCGAAAGTTTTTTAATTAAATCACTGCGTAGAACATCTGTGTCAAGTTGAGGTTATTCGGGCCTCGTATGAACTAGCATAATGCATGGAAAAAATTTGGGATCGGGGGTTTAACTTGAAGGGGCTTGCCGACATCAACGGAAATGGTGAATCCCCGTTCAAATATGACTGTGACTTGGACAACAAACGCAATAGATCATCACAGTATGTGTGGGGAGATAGAGGTCCCCCGTGGGGTGGTTTTAAAGTTAGGAATAACCTCTTTATTATTGAACTAATAATTAATTAATTTTATTTTAAATATATCATATTAATTGCTTTCAATCACTTTATTTCCCCAATAAAATATGTTAGATACATGTTAATTACTTTAGGAAATGGTAAAGTATACGCTGACAGTAGCACGGTTTATATCATAAGCCAGCCAGTTGGAATGGAAAAGGTAATCCCCATGGGGCACAGGTAAGACTTCCGTAACCTGTTGATTGATAAAGCCGATTGGCAATTTTTCCACCAAAATATCATTCTGGAAATTAACAATACCTCATTAGCAATTATCTAAATCGAAGAATACTGGGGACTCACATCAAAGGGACAAGAGTGATTCATATTGGAGTAACTTTTGAACATGCTGTAAAGGTAAGTGGCGATGGGATCTGGTTTTTCACGGACCAGAAATTTACAGGCGTCCACAGTGACGTTATAGAAAAACGGTTTGTATCCATTGTATCTCTTAAAAATGGCTACATTAACCTACGTAAAAGTTCACTTAACAGAATAGTATTCAATTTTTTAATTATACAAACATTAACTTTGGTAACGGACGTTTTGTGCAGGTTCACTTTTACGGACAAGTACTTATAGGTTCGATTTACAGACTTCAGGAAGCAATACTCAAAGCTGGCGAAATCAGGATCCAAGGTGGTGGATTTAGCGTTGGTGAACTCCACCTTGGTTGCGATCTTGAAAGTAATTTAATAAAATTAATTTAATTAATTTTAAACAAAGCACAAAATTATATACTCTGTTCACTAAATAAAGAAGAAAAATCAGCAGGACACAACAACTTCTTTGGGCAAACATTTTAACAGAAATGAAGCACTGATGACAATGTTGCTATTTTAGCCTAATAATTATGGCTACTAATTGCAAATTTTTATATGTAAATGTATTATATATTGAATTATTATTTGATTTGCATAGCGTTTAATGACCCTTATTGATACAAGAGATAAGGTTCTAATGATCTCACCTTTGACAGGTATATAAAATAGTGTAGAAGTAAATCTCTTCACCAAACACTACAAAATTATGAAACTGCCCTCTTGCCGGTAGCTGTATGGGTAAGAATTATCGAGAAAATCACCTCACCCCATGTTTTTGCTCAAAAGCCATCGCCCTAGGGGCATACCCTTATCAGCGACAATAAGAGCCGCACCAATCCGCGATCTCTACCCAGTAGGTTGAAGAACACGGCGACGAAATGATCTCAACGTGGTTTGTGATGCTCACTGCTAGCGTCTTCTCGGCAATGGCTGTCCATGGGAAAGTACCGACGATAGTGACAAGGGCTGAATGGAATGCCAGAGCTCCGAGTGGTCCCATGGACGGAATGGAGACTCCCCTGCCGCGGGCTGTAATTGCACACACGGCTGGCGGTGGCTGTACGGATGATGTGAGCTGTGCCCAGCAGGTGCGCAACCTTCAGAGTTTTCAGATGACCAGGCTAAAGTTCTCCGATATCGGCTACCACTATCTGATCGGCGGCAATGGAAAGGTGTACGAGGGCAGGAGTCCCAGCCAGAGGGGAGCATTTGCTGGCCCCAACAACGAAGGTTCCCTGGGCATCGCTTTTATTGGAAACTTCGAGGAGCAGGCACCCAAACAGGAAGCCATCGAGGCGGCTAAGAAACTACTGGAACAGGCCGTGCAACAGGCCCAGTTAATCGAGAGCTACAAGCTGCTTGGCCATCGTCAAGTGAGCGCCACCAAGAGTCCTGGAGATGCCCTATATGCTCTCCTACAGCAGTGGCCACAATGGTCTCCCGAGATCTAATAGTGACTAAGCTTTCGACACGTAAAGAACTTTCCTTACACATTTATTTGTAAATATAATTATGTATAATTTGTTGCTTGCTTAAATACGAATACTAAAATTTTAATTTTGTTGATCTGTTTCCGCTGCACTTCGTCGACTTCGCACATTTTGTCAGCTGCCGCCTGGCCCGGCTAAGCTCCCCAGGAGCGGTGCACTGGGCCACAAATAGAGATTTGAGACATCACATAGCATCATCATTCACCGAACCGGAACTTCCGCAAGAAACTAAGCTAACTATACAGAACCCTAGGTGAAGCACGGAACGCAGATGGAACTGGAACTGGAACGATCGTGAACGTAATCGTAATCGTAATGGTATGCAGAGAAGAGTGCGCCAAACGAGAGGTAAACAAGAGTCGGCAACGTGGCAACAGATGCTGCTTCAGATTACAGATTATAGATTTAGAAAATATAAAACAAGGAACTATACAAAATTCGTAAAGTACTTAGGTAAATTGCACTAATATAAACTCCCATTCGAGCTGCCGCTCGCACTGTCCGTACTGCCGCCGTTTCCGCTCATGTTACCGCTGCCGTCGCTAGACCCTATTCCACTTCCACTCGCACTCCCGCTCCCGCTCTGCTGGGCGATGGGCAGCTGGAGCAGCCAGTCCCGCTTGGCCAGACCCTCGGGCGTCTCGCCGCGCTGCGTGCACAGCGGCTGAAAGCAGGTGGTCAGGCCCACACTGGGCGTGAACTCGGCCCGTTCGCGCAGCTCCTCCTCGGTGGCCAGCATGATGCAGTCGTCGTCTATTTCGTCGCTGTCAACGCTGTACGCCGCCGCCAGCTGCTGCTGCTCCGCCCGCTGCTGGACAATGCTGTCGCTGGTGCGCCGGAAGGAATCGTCCGTCTTGCGCAGGAAGTTGTAGAGCGCCACGCATCCGAGCACCACCTCGCGGATGTGCTTGTCGCTGATTCGCAGCGGCTGTGCCAGGATGGGAAACATATTGCACAGAATGCGCATCGTCTGATCGGCGTGCGCGTTGACCTGCTCGAGGGCCTCCAGGACGGCCCGATCCTTGGGCAGGTTGCGTGTGGTCACCAAGTAGGAGGTGGCTGGCAGCACCGAGTCGCCAGCAAAGTAATATCCCTGCCGGTCCATTTCCTCCGACTGCTCCTCCAGCGTGTGCATCTTGTGCCTGATCAGCTCGACGGCAGTGGTCTGGTTATAGATGTCGTTGGGCCGACTGCTGGCCGCCCGCTCCACCGTCGCGTACTGGAAATTGTTGTCGGCATCGACGATGCCCGTGAAGATGACGGTCGCTCGCTTGCGATCGTCGCCAGCGGCGGCACCGCTACTCGCCGCACCGGAGCCAGTGCCCTGGAGCTGGATGCTGCGCATGAACAGGTTGCCCACGCAATGGGGCAGGTTGTGCTTGCGCTCCATCTCCTCGGCGGCGCTGCGCCACTGATCGTCAGTCTTTGGTAGTGTCACGTATTGGTCGTTGAGGTGCTCGTAGAAGCCCAGACAGATATTGGCAATCATTTCGTTTATCACAAATTTCGAGGCACGGAAGCAGTAGTTTCGACAAGAATGCACTTCACCTGCAGAAAGAGAGGAGGAGCACCGACAGGTAAGTATATCCGGCTGGTATGTTAGGAACTTACCCGTAGCCAAATACTTGAGCGTTATGGCCAGCCGCTCCTCGGCGCTGAACGACTTCTTCTTGCGCTGCGGCGCATACTGGCTGATGATCGGCTCCAGCTTCTGCACCAGGTAGCGGAACTGGCTCTCGGTTATGGCTAGGAAGTAATTCAAGTGGTAGCACTCGTCCTTCCGCGACTGCAGCTCGCTGAGCAGGTTCTCCTTGCTAAGGAACTCGGCCTGGTTTTTGCGCAGCCACTCCTTGGTCCACTCGAGACGTCGCCTCGTATTGAGTATGCCGGCCAGGTCCAAGGCGCTGATCTTGGAGGTCTGTGGCCGCGGTAGCACCGAGGTGCGCGCAGCTCCGCCCAAGCCGGCCGCTGGGGAGCTGACGCCGGTGCCAGCCGTTGCCGGGACATCGCCCTGCCGTTCTGCTGCTCCTGGGGCGTTGCCATCGTTGCCGTTGGCGCTTTCCTGCGTGACCCCAATAGCCATGGCCACGCCCCCGCCAGCAGCAGCGCCAGCGCCACCAGCCACCTGATGGCTGCTGGCCGCGGCAGCTGCTCCCGATCCTGTTCCAGTTCCGGCAGCCGCTCCTCCTGCCCCGCTGCGATTGACATTTGTGCTGCCGTCACGTTCGCGCAGCACACCAATAACCTTTAACTTGATTTTGTCCATCGGACCTGCAAACAAGACGGGATCAGATGTGATGTGAGGAGGCTGGGAGGAAGGCGAGGGAGGTGTGTACTCGCGGCTCATCTGTTTGCTGCCCAGGTCGACCTAGAACCGCACCCCACTCGCACTGCCGCCCCCCGATTTTCGCCCACTCGCACAACACAGCACAAACAGCACACCCCGAGTGCAGAGTGTCGTGGACGTGGTCGTAGTCGTGTGTTTTGTGCAACAAATCGATTTTTACTCACCCTCACCCTCCGCTGCGCCTCTGCTGCTGCTGCTGCTGCCGCTGCCGCTGCTGCTCCCGTTCCTTTCCTTGCGACGTCGCTGCTGATGTGTGTATAACCAGTTTCGCTCTTCGGGGGAACACGGTACGGCGCTGGTTGTATAATTAGAACTGTCTGCAGCGGCCCTATATCTCTGCCTGTCTCAGCTCGGTTTCTCCGTTTATCGGATTTGGGTTCGGATTTACATTTACCTCACCCTCCGCTCCACATCTGCTAAAACTAAACCGATGCCAATACGAAATGCGACGGCAGCAACAACAACAATGCACGACGACAACGACAACGACGACGAGAACGTCGATGCCAGCAATTTCATAGTCAGCCAAGGAAAAGGAGTTGCCCGGCCGTCCGGTTCTATCCGTTACGATCCGTCCGCTTCCGATTCTGATTTGTCCACGGCCAGCTCCTTGTCACCTGTCCTATCACTTGCCCGAAAACCACATTTTCCCCAATTCTTTTTTTTCACGAATTCTTTTTATTTGATTAGGGATGACACCGACGTAGCTATCGATAGTCGATGACTCGGCCACATCGAGTTTCCATATTCGATACTTTTCATTTTGACCCGAAAAAACAATCGATAAAAAGAAGTAAACAACAACTGATGCCAATATGGCATTTTTCCCGTCAGATCTGGCTTTTTTACAGGCTATCTCTCGCTGCTAATAACGGTGTTTTTCTTTTTTTAAGAGACCATTTATTATTAAATTTATTAGTTATTTATTTATTTATTATTTATTATTTAATTTTTAAAATAAATTTTAATAACTTATTTATTTAATATGTATTCTGGCAAAATTGCATATACAAATAAATTTACGTTTACGTTACGGTTTTGCAATCAAAACTAACTAACTAACCCAAATGTGGTTTTATTGAATTTTGACAGAAAAATCTCAAATAGAGATTCGTTTCTCAGTCTAAAAATTAAATTAAGTTTAATGAAGTTAAAAAAGAATAACATTTTTATACCCTTGCAGGGTTCAGTCAGAAGTTTGCAACGCAGTGATGGAGACCTTTCCCACCCCATAAAGTAATTTTATATAATTTTAGGATTGTCGGAGATGAAGCTGGAGGAGCGAGCAGCTGGCTGGACAGACCTCAACGGGATGGCAGTAGAGGACGGTGATTGGATCTTGGCTCCGGGCTATATGAAAGCCTGCAGAAGGTGTAAATAATTAAAATATTTATAAATACAATTTAAATATGTAAATGTAATTGATGGAACACACAAATATTAATCAATAAAAGATGGGGAATTCAATGTGTAATTGTTTGCTGAAGGCGGCGATCCCAAACGTTTGGGGAAAAATCTAATTATTTTGAAAGCCAAATCTAAATTTTTAAGTTTTTGTTCTGAATTTTAAACATTTTTTTCGGATGTTTTACAATTTTTCTAAATTAAATTTTTTTTTCTAAATATTTAAAACTTTTCTGAATTCTTAAAATTTTGTCTGAATTTTTAACATTTTTTTCAGATTTTTTATATTTTTTAGAATTTTTTTTAGAATTTGTTACATTTTTTAAAATGTTGTAACTGCCAAATTTGAATTTAACTGTCAAATTTGAATTTAACGACGATCAGTTTCAGTGTGCCCAGGTGCAGTTGTAAAATAACACCTAAATTTGGATTCAAAAGGTTTGAGTCTCCGCTAACTTGCGCCGGCTCCTAAATGGTTTGAAACTTGGACTTTTTAGAACAGTTTATACCAGTTTTCAGTTGCTTGCTGCTGATTTCTGTTCGCCTGTTACCCCAATTTGGGAAACGGGCAATTTGCATGGAAATGTTCGGAAATTTGGATGGGCTGCTGTAGGGATGTTGTTGTAAAAAGGTTGTTGTTGCCATAAGCTGTTGTTGTCGGCAACAAATAGGTATAAATATAAAAGGTTTGAGTCTCCGCTAACTTGCGCCGGCTCCTAAATGGTTTGAAACTTGGACTTTTTAGAACAGTTTATACCAGTTTTCAGTTGCTTACTGCTGGTTTCTGTTCGCCTGTTACCCCAATTTGGGAAACGGGCAATTTGCATGGAAATGTTCGGAAATTTGGATGGACTGCTGTAGGGATGTTGTTGTAAAAAGGTTGTTGTTGCCATAAGCTTTTGTTGTCGGCAACAAATAGGTATAAATGCATAAAATGAAATATAACAGTTTATACCAATTATTATTTTTGCCCAAAAGTTTTTATAACAGTTTATACCAGTTTTCAGTTGCTTGCTGCTGGTTTCTGTTCGCCTGTTACCCCAGTTTGGAAAGCGGCCAATTTGAATGAAAAGTTTTGCTCACTTCCATCAGTGATGCTCACTTCCATCAGTGATGCTCACTTCCATCAGTGATGCTCACTTCCATCAGTGATGCTCACTTCCATCAGTGATGCTCACTTCCATCAGTGATGCTCACTTCCAACAGTGATGCTCACTTCCATCAGTGATGCTCATCTGCATCAGTGATGCTCATCTGCATCAGTGATGCTCATCTGGCTATATTTCAATATTAGGGGGCCATAAAGTCGGGCTTAATGGCAGTGATGCTCATGTGCATCAGTGATGCTCATCTAACTATTTTTTGCATTATTGGTAGGAAATTGCATGTCACTAGCTGTCAGTGATGCTCATCTAGCTATTTTGCATTATTGGGACAAAATGGCATCTCTCTAACTGCCAGTGATGCTCAACTAGCTATCTTACATTATTGGGACAAAAAGGCATGTTTCTAACTGCCAGTGATGATCATCTAGCTGCATTGCATTAATGGGACAAAATGGCATATCACTAACGGTCAGTGATGCTCATCTAGCTATTTTGCTTTGATGTTTCTTTCATTTTCCACCGCAAGAATGCCCTTCTATTGAGCTTATTTAAATTATCCCACCCAAAAAAAACCGCATCCTCCTCATAACTCAAAAATAACACATTTTTTAAGGTTTATTATTTATTTCAGCTTTAAATAAATAAAAGAAGAAAAGGTGAGGCATGTGGGAATGTCCTGCTCCTCCTCGTCCTGATCCTCCTTGCCAACGCACTCTTTCTCGCCTTCGGCACCCGCTTTCAGTTCCTGGCAGCTTGCTGCAATTAAATTTAAAAAAAGGGTGCGATTTATTTTGAAAATAACTCAGGCAAAAATGCATGAAATTCAATTCGGCAAGCTGTTCAGAGTTCGTTTTTCTAAGCTTAACAAAGCTGCTTACTCAGTTTTAATAAAATACTTACCTGTAATTTTGAAAGAAAGCTGTTCTAAGGTGGTTATTCTAAGCTTAATAAAACTGCTTACTCAGTTTTGCTTAAATGCAAGAAACTGATTTTCAAAGGTTCATAACTAAGTCATTTTTATACCCTTGCAGGGTATTATAATTTCAGTCAGAAGTTTGCAACGCAGTGAAGGAGACCTTTCCGACCCTATAAAGTATATAAACCATATATATTCTTGATCAGCATCAACAGGGGAATCTTTCTAGATATGTCAGGAAGAAATCGATTTTTTGGCCATTTTTGCAAAATTTTATAAGGGGTTAAATCATTAAAATGTTTGATTTTGATAAAAAATTGAATTTTCAAAATTTTTAAATGAAGTATGCAGATTTATTACCTGTAGAAAATCTTACACAGAACAGTTTTCCGATTTAAAATTAATGCTCTTTTGGCCGAGTTATGATATTTTTAATTTAAAAAAAATCAAGAAGTTTTATAATATAAAAAATCAGATTTTATAATACAAAATAATATTTTTCTAAGTCAAGGAATCATTTTCGGCACCATAAACCATATATATTCTTGATCAGCATTAACATGCGAATCTTTCTAGACATGTCCGGAAGAAATCGATTTTTTGGCCATTTTTGCGAAATTTGATAAGGGGTAACATCATTAAAATTTGCAAAAATGGCCAAAAATTTTGATTTCTTAAAATTTTAAATTTGGTATGCAGTTTTTATAAATTAATAAAAACTAACACAAAACTGCTTTCCGAATCGAAATGAATGCATTTTTGGCTTACACTGATAAAAAAAAACAAGAATTTTGGTCATAAAAACGAGATTTTTCGGTCACGAAAATGGCTTAAGCATATTTTGGTCTTCTTTGGATATTTTCGGTCATCTTTTAAGTACTTTTTCATTCTACATTTGAGATTTTTCAAATATTATTCCAATCCTTAAAAAAGTTTAAAATAAGAACGATAAACGACCGAAAATCTTAAAAAATGACCATAACAAGGTTTAAATTAAGAAAAAAAAAAAAATTTGTTTGAATCCTAACGAGACCGGCCTTAGTTAATACTACTAAACATTCGTAATACCAAACATTTCAAATTAAACATTGTTAAAACAAGAGCTTTATTCTTGAGTGTAAAATAATTAGTCGGAGGTGCTAGTTTAATTGTATAACTTTATTGATAATTCTTAATTCAGTTCTCTTCAACTTCAACTTTTTTCCAATAATGCTAATGGCGTACAACTTCAAGTTCTTTCTTCTCTATTTCTTCTTCTCTCTGCCACCCATTCGTTCATATGAGTTGGCAGCATCCGTATAACAGATGTAATGTTACCTAACAGTCAGAAGGCGCGGAATTTGACTATAATCAAATGTACTATTTGGGTTTTGACCCAACATACCGGCCCCCTTGAAAGTATGCGATTGACTTTCAAGAGACAGGTAATAAGGCGAGTTTCCGTATGGGACGGCGGATGATTCCCTTGGCGGTGCGTACGTTGGCTACACGCACGATGTTGTCCGATCCGGCGATGGTGCTGACTACGCGGCCAAGAAGCCACCGTTGTGGGGGAAGATTATCCTCGTGAACAATAACCATGTCGTTGACCGCTAGATTTGGTGCAGTCTTCGTCCAGGTTGTGCGAACTTGGAGCTCGTTTATGTATTCGTGGCTCCAACGACTCCAGATGTGGTGCTTAATTGCGCTGACCTTCTTCCATCGATCCAGCTTGTCCAGATTGTCGTCGATTGGTGGAGCTTCTGGAAGAGCTCGGAGTGCGTCACCCACTAAGAAGTGACCAGGCGTGAGAGCGGCCAGGTCGTTTGGGTCGGTTGATAGCGGCGTTAATGGGCGAGAGTTCAAAATCGCCTCGACGTCAGCAGCTGCTGTGGCTAGCTCCTCGAAGGTTAGTCTGGTGTCTCGAAGAGTGCGATTGAGTAGTCCCTTGACGCTTTTGACGGCAGCCTCCCATATGCCCCCGAAATGTGGAGCCCTGGGCGGAATGAAATGAAAGTTAATGAATTCATTGCGACAAAAATTATGGATCGATTCAGCCGTTTCTTTCTTGAAGAGGAACTGCTTCAACGCTTCTAGTTTGTTGTTGGCTCCTGCGAAGTTAGTAGCGTTGTCACAAAAAATGTCCGAAGGCAGCCCGCGTCTGGCAATGAAGCGCTTGAGTGATGCAATGAAGCTATCCGTCGTGAGATCTGAGACCACTTCGACATGTATGGCTTTTGTGGCAAAGCAAACGAAGACGGCGAGGTATGCCTTGGTGGGCGGCTTACCCCGGATGCGCAAATAGACGTTGATTGGTCCGCAAAAA